TAAGCTTCCCTTAAGTCTAGTTTAGAAAAAATTTTCCCTTTCGATAGGTGTGACAGCATGTCTTTCATGAGGGGCAGCGGGTATAGGTTGCTTTCACTGATTGTGTTCAGGGCCCTATAATCCACGCATAAACGTAAAGAGCCATCCTTCTTCTCTCTAAAAAGGACCGGGGCAGCCACTTTAGGCTTAGCTGGTTCAATGAAACCTCTCTCCAGGTTTTTTTTTTATAAATCTTTCCATTTCCTCCTTCTCCTTTGGGCTCATGGAGTATAATCTGGGCTTCGGGAGTTTTGCCCCAGGCTTGAATTCAATGGTACAGTCTGTGGGTCGGTGGGGGGGAAGCTCATTCGCCCTCTCCTCACTGAAGACTTCAGCAAGGTCCCTATATTCCTCTGGTATTTCTGTTAATCTTTTTTCCTCTCCTATGGATGCTTTTTCTATTCTTGATTCTGGTAGCCTCCCTTGGGGTTTTAAGTCCATAGGGTCCCCCTTCGGGAATTTGATTTCTGTCGTCCTCCAATTTACCCAGGGGTTCCATTTTTTCAACCATTCCATCCCTAGAATCATTGGGCATTCCATACCTGGGGTCACCACAAACGTTAAGTCCTCTTCATGGTTGCCCAGGGAGAGGTGTATTGGCAGAGTGGCTAGGGTAGCTGGCACCCCCCCGCTATGGATCCATCTAGCTGGCCAAATGAGATTGGTTGTTCCAGTCTCCTGGATGGATGCCCAGATTCCCCACTAGTGTTGGGCTAATGAGGCAGCGGGTGCAGCCAGAGTCTATTAAGGCTTTCACCTTCACAGCTTCGGGCATGGGGGGGATTAATATAGTCACTGTTTTGAAGATGGGTGTGATGCGTCCACTTACCAGGGGTTCGCCCTCCGAGCTGTCATCTGAGGCATCCACCGGCCCTGTGGTGTAGGCTGGAGTCCTTTCCCCTTGGTGAGCAGAGGTGGGGGTTTCTGCAATTTCCATCATTCTCATGGCTGTTTCTTTTGGCTTAGCTGAATACTTTCCGGTTTGTTGATTGGGGATCTGTCTGGGTTGTGCTGGGGGGCCTTTGAGCGGCATTCTACAGCTCGATGCCCTTCTCTTCCACACTTGAAACACCCCATTTGCTTCTTGGCTGTATCCGATGATTTCACCGGTTGGTGTGTCAGCTCAGGCGGGGGGCGGCTCCATTGTTTTCCTCGGCGGTGCCTCTTCAATATGTCGATCTCTGCTTCCTCTGCCAAGACGTACCATTCCTCAAGTCGATGTGGGTCCCCTCGGGGCAGGCAAGCATCATATAGATCATAGTTTAGTCCGTCTTTGAAACGGCCAAGGAGGATGTCTTCTGGCCAATTCAGTTTGCTGGCAATGGCCCGGAATTCTTGTGTATACTCGCCACTGGGCGTTTGCCTTGCCTCATCGTTGTTATTCTTTCACGGGCTTTGCGATCAGCCAGGGGGTCTTCAAATCGTCTTCTCAAAGAGGACATGAAACGGTTGAAGTTACTGAGTTCTGGGGCATTGGAGTCATGCAAGTTCACTACCCAATCCGCAGCTGGTCCATCCAGGGCAGATTGCACGATCCGGATGCGGGCTTTGTCGCTGGGAATATCCTGCCCATATTCCTCCATGTAGCTGAGGACTTGGGTTAGGAAAAACCCCAAGCGTGTTGGCTCCCCTTTGAATTTCACTTCCAACGGTGGACGTCTTGGAATGGATCGGTGTCTCTGTTGTGGGTGGTAGTGCCTTCCGTCCAGATTGCCATCTGTGGTCCGGTAGGGGGTGGGAGCTCCTGGATCAGTAGATGTCCCTGGGGTTGCAGGTTCCATGTCCCCCTCGGTGTCTCTCCCTTTGCGGCTCCAGGAACTGGGGCGGCCGTAGGTTCAGTATTCTCCTCTCCTAGGGAGCTGAGAGTTCTCTTCATCAGGTCAATAGCTTTCTCTAGGATCCAGTCTGAGTACGGTGCCCAGCTTCCTCCCTCTTCACTTGCGTGCAGGGATTTCTCCATCTCCTGCTTCCATTCTGGTTGCTTGGTCCCCCGTCTCAGGGTCACCTTTCTTGATTCCTTTCCCCACTCTCACTTTTCTTTCCAACGCCCATCGACCAGCGAGGCTTGTGGTCCTGTGTCTCCACCACTTCTTCTCCTGAGGAAACTGGCCTCTCTGATCCCAACATATGGCAAGGTTCCAGCTGGGTCAGCGGCTCTCTTTCCAGGGAGTTTTCCCCCTCTCTTGCTCCATTGTCTGACATGGTAAATTTTTGCAAAATCCCCCGGCAAGGGTCTTCCTTCCAGGTGGATTAATTTTGCAAGTCCTGTCTAATGTAAGGACCCACCCCACTTTGCATCTTAAGAAGACAGAACTCTTGGAATAATTCTTCCAACAGGAATCCTTTATTAAGAGAAAATGGTTGCAGGCATGCTAGACAGGACTTGGGGTCCAAGCTCTCCCATTCAAGGTTTTAAGGGGTTCCCCAGTAGTCCCACCCAATCAACCCCCCTTCCAGTGATAGTTTCAAGTATCTCCCCCTTCTCTCCCTCTTATGGCAGAATCCAGAGAAGGCAGAATTGGGAGTTTCTATATTTGATAATTTAAAGATGAAATATAATTGGATTCTGACATAACTAATATAAATACCTTAAAAATTCCCCCCTCTATTTCCTCACATGATATAACAAATTTAGTTTAATCTATTTCTTCTTAAAATTCAATCAATCCACAGAATCATCCCTACTATTATATCCACATAAATCACTCCTACTTTAAATTTCAATTAAAAATTTCCAATTAATCTTAAATAAACATATTAATAAAATTTTGGATATCCCTTCTATAACATTCTAATACTTTCACATATATTCCATTTCTTAATTTAATTCATCATTAATTAATACCCTTTCTTGTTTTATCATAGATCTCTCTAATTCTTCTGCTATTACAAAATAGTTTTCTATATAAACAGAGTAAAAAAAACAAAAAAAGAATCATTTTGACCTGTTAAGTAAAATTTAACTCTCAACCAAATTAATTATCATATCTACGACAAACATATTATTACACCAATTATTATCTTACTGCTTTCATTTACTCAATTAGATTGTCAAATCAGTCCAAATCTCTAAAGCCTTTTTGACCCAATAATTAAGATTTTAAATCATATTTTTAAATCTAATTCTGGCTTTTCTTCTATACCAAGCTGGTTTCCGTAATGTCGCATCTATGTCATCAAATATCAGTGTTTGAGTACTAATGTTTATCAAAAATCGATCTGATCAAAATCTCTTCCCCTTCTTCCAGTATCATGTGAGCAATATAGTCCATTTTATTCCATATTATGATTTCAGCTTGATTATCCAGGTTGTCATAACTTTCAATCGATCACGTCTGGCTGTCAATTCCTGTTAATTTTAGCAATGGGAGTATTTCACTTATAGTCATTTTTTGATCTTCAAAGTTCTCCGTTCGTACATAGACTTGTGAAATATCCTCTTCTGTAATAGTTAGTTGATTGATAGAGTAGTCATTTAAGGTCTCAATCTGGGATTTTGGGTCCAGAATTTTTCTAAAGTTCAATTGATCAGTGAGTTCTTCCATCTCAAATTGTGTACACTGTTGCATATAAGCTTCTTCTTGGCCTGTAAATTGGTCTTTTAAAATTTGGGACTCAGCTTGTGATTCTAGAAGATGGTCTTTAGTTTTTCTCCATGACTTCATCTCCTCTGTCATTTCCAATATTTTTTCCAATATCAGCTCATAATCCAGTCCAGAATTCAATTGATCAGTAAATTCTTCTTCCATCTCAGATTGTGTATATTGTTACATATAGGCTTCTTCTTGGCCTACAGGTTGATCTTTTAAAGTTTGAGGCTCAGCTTGTGGTTCTGCAAAATAATCTTTAGTTTTTCTCCATAACTTCATCTCCTCTGTCATTTCTAATATTTTTTCCAATATCAGCTCATAGTCAAGCTGTGGGTAAAAGTCTTCTATTTCCATAGTAAAAGAGTCTTTTAATCTTTTTGTGGAAACTATATTTATTAAGAGTCCATATACATCCACCTCCACAATTTTTAAATCACAAACACAACCCACAGCTGTTTCTTTTCTTCTTGTTAATTCCTGAAAGTCAAAAACCTCTCCAAACACCAAAGCAAAGACATTAGAATTGCAGTAAATGTTTTCACCACAAGATGTCCTCAGTAAGCTATAGAAAGTTTTTTCTTTGCTCGTTAAGAATGACAAAGAAAGAGACAGAAAAAAGCAAATCTCGTCAGTATAATAAGTAAAATAATGCTCTAAATTACAAATCTTTCCAGGGATGCCCAATATCCAAAAGGTTCAAAATATAATAAGTGCTATTCTGTAGTTTTGTTTAAAATGTATTTCCCCTCCAAACAGACAGACGCCGCTTTCTTAGAATAGGGAAGTCATCCAAAAAGCAAGCTCTTTGCAAGAAAAATAGTTTAAGGAAATAGTCAGGACGGAGAGAGGGAGGGAAGGTCTCACCCGGATTCACCACGATGGTTCTTTATGCTTAGATGATTTTTTAACTTCAACTGGCACAGCGAAATAATCGGCCATTTTACTGGCCAATCTTCTTCTCCATCGGCCCTATTGAGTTAGCTCAGACTGCAGGGGGAGCCGCCACTCCACCGCAGCCGAGCAAAAGCCTCCTTGATGGTGGTTGCCCCTCCAGGATGATTTAGGACTTGCATAAGGGTCTACCGGTAGAGAGAAAACAGCCAACAAAGAGCGACAGCTCTTCGTATGGCTGAGCCTGCCGTGATGCGGAAGCCCAAATAAATGTTTTTTTGACCCTATAATATATTTTTGCCTAAAGATTTTTTTTTTGTCCTGTAAAATGGATACTCACTAAAATGTACATGATACATTCTAACTAGTTAAGTCCAATAAATTGAACTTAGAATGCTGATGATAGTTCAATTTCTGCTGAAAATACATTTTTGAAAGATAGAGCTTTTCTATTACTTGAGGAGGTCATAATTCTGAATACTTGAGAACCACAGGTCTCAACTTAGAGCTTTACCTTTTCTAATTCTGTATTATACTACTCCTCTATTATGCTGTGTTTCCTTCTCTTTTCTGGATTTCTGCATTACCATAGGAGATTCACCAATTTTTGTTGGAGAACAGAAAGAAAAGGTAAGAAAGTTTTCAAAATAGGAGTAAAGTAATCATTTCTCACATTTTTTTTCTAATTCTTATTCTCTGTGTTTGTTTTTATTTTTATTATATGTCATTTCATTATTTTTCTCTTACCTTAATTAGAGTTACTTCAAAAATGTTCACAAATATAAAAACAATAAACTTAACTATCTGGTATTTTTTTCCATATTTGTCCTGATATACCTATTCTTACATCTTTATATACTTCTATGTACCATAGCTATTGTTAAATCTTAAATCTGTTTATAAGTTTCATGATAAAATCATTACAGGGCAAACTGCCAGTACAGTTTTCTAGATTTGGGAATAAAATTGTCAAACTATATATCAATATCTCTTCATGTTGCTAGATAATCTTCAATAGAAAATATTTTAAAATTAAGTACTATAGAGTGGAGTAAAATTTAGTCTGATATGAAAGAGACTGAGTTTTTAAAATGTATTTTCTTTTAACTAGTGAGTGGATTATTGTGATTTTGATTGAATGCATTAATAATGTCTTCTTGTAATGCAAAAATTAGTGATTTAAAAGTCACTATACTTTAAAATACAGTTATGAATATGAGGACAGGTGTATATTTTTCGTACTACCATAGAGTGGTGTAGAAATAAATGGGAAACCATCTGTTAGGTCCTTTATACTAGAATAAGACTCTTATAATCACACCTTTAGAACACACTATAAATAAAGTACATCTAATTAATGCCACTTGGATAAAACTAGAAAAAGGAAATTAATAGACTTCAAAACAATCCTTCAACTAATGATTAGAACTAAAGAAAAAGGGATTATTATTGTTAATTAAACCATTGAATTTGTAAAATGGGTCTTTTTAATCCACTGGATTTACAACATTTCCTCTAGTTTATATATCACAAAAAATCCCTCTTGAAAAAAATTCTTTCTGTGTATTTAAAATAGTTTTATGAAATAAAGATATTTCAGCTGTCATTTTTGTTTTTTTCTAGCATTATTCACTAATAATTAATTGATGAATTTAAGGTATTGAATTAATATTTTAAAATATTTTATTAACTTTGGGAATTTCGAATGGGCATCCATTCTTATTGTGAATACTAAGGCTATATATATAGTATAATTTATTTGGATTCTGTTGCTTATCAGGTACATATTCATGCAAATGTACCATTAACTTTTTCACTATTAGCTGTTAATTATGTTTTTTGTTTTTATTTTTAGAACACCCTTTTTAGTTGTATTAATAGAAATGAAAGTAAGTATCTTATTTTATAAAAAAACTGAATTTTGACTTTTTATTCTCTTGATTTCATTTTACCTTTTAAAAATAATTTTTCAAGAGCATATATCTGCGTCACATGTGTAAAACGGACTCAAGCAGAATAGATTGCATTTCTTCTAAATTTAATAGTCTTTTTTATGTATTTTAGTATGTTTCAAAATATAGAACCTTTTGGCCAAATATTTCTATGTAGTAGTAAGAACAATGCTAGTTAGTTCCTGAAATTCTAAACAGAATTATATATTCAAGCTTATCAGCAAAGATGAATATACTTTTTAATAATAAAACCTCTTTTTTTCCTTAGTGGGATCAGTTTGTTGCAATTACGCTGGCCATCAAACAAATTGCTGGGAATACTGTCAAGCAATTTTTCGAACAGATACTTCTCCGGGCCCTTCCCAGATAAAGACTCTTGAAAATTACTGCGTTTCTGTGAGCCCAATGTTACTGAATTGTGTGAATAACTATACACAGTCATATCCAATGAGAAATTCAACAGATAGTAAGTATATGACAAAGAAACTTTGTCATACAATAATCTGGTCAATTAATGCATGGAAATAACACAATAAGACTTTTATAGATTAAAGATTATTAATTCAATTATTGAGTGTTTTTTTTTAAAAAAAATCTGTACAATTTTGCATTCTAAAATTAAGGATAACTATATGTCCTGGTTATTCTACAGGATAAAGCCATAAATATTTTAATAGAAGACATGCTATGCATGAATATCTCTGAAGTTATCTTCAGCATTAGGTTAGGAAAAAACTCCTGCTTAATATCTGAGGGATCATTGTTAATCAAATTCAAATTTATTATAGCTGTTGTAGCTTGAAAAAAACAAGATATTGAATAAAATAAGTATTATATTCATATGTGTGTGTATGTGTATGTGTGTGTGTGTATGTGTGTGTGTGTGTGTTTAGCTAGCAATAAATACAAGAACACTGTTTTTCTGTTTTTATATATATGTGTTCTTAAGAATATTAAAAATATTAAAAATAAAAAGGTGATTCCTGGGTAAACTCATGTTTCGCTAGCAATAAATGCAAGAACACCAGGAAATTATAAAACTATAAAAAGTTTTAATAAATTTAAAACACCAAGCTTTCGCCGGCAACTGCTGGCATCGTCAGGGTGGTTTCCAGTCGATGGGAGAGGCTATTTATGGCTGTGGCATTCTTTGCACCCGGCTCATGGATCTTGTCACTGGCCCCAGCCAATCCATCTGCACTTTGATCCTAGTTTCCGTGTTACTGATCGTTGTTTTCTTGCTTTCCTTTGTACCAACATTCTCATCCTTTTTCTCCTCATGTGGTCGTGGGTTGGGGGAGCTTGCACGTTTTCGTTGTTTGTTTTCCTTATCCTCCTTCCTGTTATTCCCCCTCCTCGTTCTCCTCCCACCTTCCCTCTTTCCATAGTCTTTATTCGCAATTATCACCTCATTGCTTTCTCCTACGTAACCAGCTTTCATTGTAGTTGTCTTATCGTGACTCCCATTCTCTGATGTTACTTCACTAACTTTCATTTTCTTGTCAATGGGGGCATGTCCAACAATACCGTCAGGGTTTGTAACATTTTTAGCCTGGCTGTCACTCCCCCCTTCGCACAAAATCCTTGGTGTGGGGGTCATCCCTTCTCCGTGGCTCATACTCCATTCCGTGAGGGTGAGCGATCATCTTCAGGAGAAGAGAAGGGGGTGGGTTTTTCAGTTCCCGGTTTCTCACTCCCTGCCTGTTTCCAGGGGGAATTCCCCTTCTGAGATGTTTCCCATGGTTCGCTCGCATTATCGAGGTGAGACCATGTTGTTAAGATGCCATCATGGATGGGGTTAATCACGGAGCCGCTGGCGGGGGTGGGGGCGATGTTACAGCCCTTCCATTCACGATTGTCTCCTGTCCGGGTGCTGGTACGGGGCCGTATCATTACACAATTATTCATACGGCATGGGGAAACCTCAGATTCATCGGCAGTAGGCTCACAGCTGTTAATACGTTTTTCCACTTGTTGGGAGTCAGCACATGTCTCCGCACTTGGAGAGTTGCTCAATAGTAAGCTGTTCTCTATCCGGGTGTTTCCAGAACTCTTTCTCTCCACCAACCCTCCTCCCAGAAGGCACATTGTAGTATTAGACTATTTCTTTCCGGGGGACTGGCTGTTTCTGGCCCATGCTCTTAACGCTATGTGTGCAGGAGATAAGTCTATATGCCTGTTGATGGACTCATTGTCTGAAAGCCAAGCTTCCTTAAGGAGTCGGCCCCCTTTCGTGTTGTCATTAGCCATCACCTGGACGTTATCGAAGTCAAACCCATGTCCTGACTCTAGCATGTGTACCCCGATTTGGGAGTATTGATCGCCTCTCCTCATAGCCAACTTGTGCTCGTGAATCCTAGTTCTAACGCGTTTGGATGTCTCTCCCACATAATTCACGGGGCAATCTTTACAGTTGATTTTATAAATGACGCCAGACCTCTCTGTGATGGGAAGTGGATCCTTTGGTCTCATTACCTTGGATCGTAACATCTGATTTGGGTTATATGCCACCCTCAACGTTGTAGGGTGCCAATAACTTAGCTGTGACCTCTGAGACGTTACTAACATAAGGAAGAGTAACCCGGGTAATTTGTGGTGTTGACTCTTCCATTTGAAACCTAGCACGGGGTCTAAGTGGCAGGCTATGGCATCTGATGAATTTCATGGGATATCCGTTGCGTCTGCATACCTTGAGAAGATGTTTCCTCTCCTCTATCCTAGCCGTAGCCGTGCTGCAGTGGGAATCCACCCTCTTAAAGAGGGTCTTAATGCAGCTGACCTTGTGGGACACCAGATGGTTACTGTCATAATGCAGCATTCTGTCAGTGTGTGTGGGTTTGTGATAAACTTGGGTCCTCAGGGTTCCGTCTGGTTGACGGTGAACCAGAACATCAAGAAATGCCAGTTTACCCTGGTGTTCTTCTTCCTCTAAATTGCAAATCCACGCACACTGAGTTAATGTGTCCACAAAGTCAGCTTTCTGGCTCCTCTTAACAATGGCAAAGGTGTCGTCCACGTAGTGAGCCGAAAACTTGGGACAGCATTGGGCCATCGCTATGTGTTCCAACTGCTGCAACACAGCTTTTGCTATGATACTGGAGATCGGTGACCCCATGGGGGTGCTCTTAACCTGCTCAAACATAGTATCTTGGAATGTAAAATATGTTTTTAAACATATCTCCAAAAGGTTCACAAGGTCTCGGGGCCGAAGAGAATCTTGTTGCTGCCCTAAGCCCCTTAGTTCAAGGACCTCTCTGACTGTTTTGACAGCAAGATCCTGTGGGATAGAGGTGAAGAGGGAGACGACGTCAAAGGACACCATCACCTCATCATCCTCTATCCTCACGGATCTGATCCTATCAAGGAACTCTTCAGCCGATTTGACCGTGGTGGAACTGTCATTGACCAAATGGCTGATGCGAATGCTCAGCCATTTAGCCAGGCTTGAGATCGGGGTGTTCTTAAATGACACAATGGGACGAAGGGGAACACCCTCCTTGTGAACCTTGGGAAGCCCATAAAATCTGGGCATTGCAGTATCACTAGGGTGTAACTTTCTGAGGGTGGTGTCGTCTAGCCTCTTACTACGTTTGAGGGTGTTAAGTACCTTGTTAGTATGGTTTTTTAAGGGCCGTCATTCCCCCTGGAAAGAGGCAGGGAGTGAGAAAATGGGAACTGAAAAATCCGCCTCCTTCACTTCCCCTGAAGATGATCGCTCACCCTCAGGGAATGGAGAGGAGTATGAGTCACGGAGAGGAGATAACCCCCACACCGAGGATTTTGTGTGAAGGGGGGGGAGTGACAGCCAGGCTAAGAATGTTACAAACCCTGACGGTATTGTTGGAAATGCCCCCATTGACAAGAAAATGAAAGTTAGTGAAGTAACATCAGAGAATGGGAGTCACGATAAGACAACTACAATGAAAGCTGGTTATGTAGGAGAAAGCAATGAGGTGATAATTGCGAATAAAGACTATGGAAAGAGGGAAGGTGGGAGGAGAACGAGGAGGGGGAGTAACAAGAAGGAGGATAAGGAAAACAAACAACGAAAACGTGCAAGCTCCCCCAACCCACGACCACACGAGGACAAAAAGGATGAGAATGTTGGTACAAAGGAAAGGAAGAAAACAACGATCTGTAACATAGAAACTAGGATCAAAGTGCAGATGGATTGGCTGTGGCCCGTGACGAGATCCATGAGCCGGGTGGAAAGAATGCCACAGCCATAAATAGCCTCTCCCATCGACTGGAAACCACCCTGACGATGCCAGCAGTTGCCGGCGAAAGCTTGGTGTTTTAAATTTATTAAAACTTTTTATAGTTTTATAATTTCCTGGTGTTCTTGCATTTATTGCTAGTGAAACATGAGTTTACCCAGGAATCACCTTTTTATTTTTAATATTTTTAATATTCTTAAGAACACATATATATAAAAACAGAAAAACAGTAAGTATAATGGAATAAAAAATAATTAAGCAGCTAAAATATTATTATGTAATAGTACAGTGTGTCATACAAATGGTAACACAGAACTGGGTCTTGAGTCCTTGTCTGAGAGTAGTAGCATTAAATAGAAATTGTATTCTCTACCTGGAAATTTCTTCAAGAGAGGCTATATAAGGGTCACCTTAGAGTTCTTATGTAGAGTACAGAATAACAGAGCTAGAAGTGACTTTGAAAGTCTTCTAATCCAACACCATGCCCAAGCAGGGGGCCCTATATCATTCCAGACAATGGCTGTCCAATCTCTTTTTAAAAGCCTTTTAAAAAGAGATTGGACAGCTGTAGTCCTTCTCTTTGTTAAACTACACACACCCTAGTTCCTGCAACCACTTGTCATGTATTTTAGCCTCCAGTCCTATAATAAATTTTCTGGCTCTTTTCTGCACTCTTTCTAGAATCTCAACATTTTTGAATAGCGTCTTTGGAAATTCTCAGTCATCCAGGTCATCGTTATCTCAAAGATGTTTTTTCATGAGGCAACTGGACTTTCTTGTTTTTTCTTTGAAGACATTCACTTCTCATCCAAGAAGCTTCTTTAGCTCTGACTGGATGGGTGGGGAATGGAAAGATTTATACTTCTGCAGACAGCTGGTCATTTGATTCTTTTAGCGAGTCATTAAAGCTACCTGGAGGGTTATCTGTGTCTTCAGGGACGCCTGAGTAGTGCAAATGGAAGTGGAGCCTTCTTGGAACTGTTGAAAGGACTGTGTTGTAGACTGGAGATAGATGATGTCAGATCCCTCTCCCTCTGTTGAGAAAGTCGGATCCCTCCCCCTTTGTTGAGAAAGTCCAGTTGCCTCATGAAAAAGCATCATTGGGATCTTTGAATAGTGATGACCACAATTGGCTATAGTATTCCAAGTGTGTTGTTAATCAAGGCAGTATAATGCGGCACTAACACTTCACATGATCTTGGTTCATGAAGTTGTTGATGTAGCCTAGAACTACATTTTTTGGGGGGCA